AACAAATATGATTGGGACTTTCAACAGATCTGCCACATAGGCAACAGCAGCACCCTGAAAGCCAAAAAAATTCAGCAAAAGTAAAAAGTAAAAATGACTGTTGGGCAGTGTATAAAGAGGACCAAATTTGCAGCTATCCAATATTAGGTCTAAGAGATGCAAATAGGTTCAATACTCTTTGCAGGAAAAAGCAGGGATACTCTGATCAAAATGCTAAGGTTACCTCCATGTCTTTAATTGTAGCATCATTTGCAACGATCGATGCTTCATCCTGCGGGGACATATCTAGAGAGTTGCCGGTAGACAGTTTACCAATCTGAAGCATGAGGGAAACCATAAATGACTGACATTGCCAATACTTGCGAAGCTATCAAATACAAAGAAAAGGAAACCCAAGTATCATAGTAATGCACATCCGTATCATAGGTTACACACTCATGCCTAAGTGCATTGGTCTAGATAATGGAGAACTCCAATTTTAAAATTTAAAAGTGACCAACAATATATCAAATGGTTCGGACGCTATTCAATTTAAGAAGGGTTTCAGTGTTTAAATAAGTCCAAGCATTTTGCTGCATGATAATTACCTTTAGGTTAAGTTCCTTTTGAAGATTGGGTGATACACAGGCTTGTCGTAAACCAACTCCATATAGATCAAACACCTGTAGAAGACATACAAGATAGAGAATAATTGATTAGAAATTTTCTAAGCAGAAGCAGGAAGCAGGGAGCAGGAAAGTGGTTCTTAAAGAAACATTATTTCCATCAGCTAGCAAAATATATTGTATCTTCAACTGAGTCGTAACAGTGTTGAGAGATATTATTATTGGTTTAGGATATAAAGTTTGATTAGGGCTTCTAGTGGCGTCAACTTTCAATTCTATGTTTGTAGTATCAGAAGGGGTATGGCTAAACTGTTAAGATCTTCCAATAAATTGTAGACCAAGCATGAAACGTACTTCAATGGAAAGACAAAGGAACACTCACAGGAATAGGTATCCTTCTATCATGGTAAGCAACATCACATGCGAGATACACATCACCGATGCCCGCTCCTTTGGCCTGAAAATATACATTTATTAGTTATACGCAATATGTCAAGATGCTTCACACATCTGCACGTCCATATACTTCATACTCAATTAGTTCATGTGTGTGTGTGCGTGCACAAGAACGCATACATAAATAGTAGTTCATATGTGTACATAAATAGTTCCTTATTAATATCATGGTCCCTGCAACGCAATAGTTCAATCCTCAAACTTTTCAATGTCCTTTGTAAGAAGAGGATTCCACATTTTCCTTATACTAACAACTTCTCCAATTAATATTCAAATGAGAGAGAATAATG